AATAATATCAGAGTGCGAGTTGTACATTTCATCTCCTGGTTGGTGGCACGAAGGTGAGTTCTTTCTTCACCTGGTTGGTGATAAGAGTGGCAAGTTACCAAATAATATTAGAGTACGGGTTGTACATTTTATCACCTGGTTTGTGGCATGAAGGTGAGTTCCTTCATCACTTAGTTGGTGAGAATAAGGGCAAGGTGTCAAGGCACATTGTAGCAAGTGTCAAATGACACAAAGTGTGTTAAACCCTTTCAAAGCACAATTGGCTTATGTATGGATGTGTTGGAATGTATGATGTTTATGGATGAATGTGTTGGCATGTATGATGTTTATGGATGAATGTGTTGGAATGTATGATGTTTATGTTGATTGACATGAGTGATGCTTATGAATGCTTTGTTATGCATGAAAGGATCCATGTTTTCGATATGTGAACCATGTTGGTTGTAACACTTAGTATCACATACTTTTTGTCAAAGTACACATGTTGAAGCTCTGAGTTAGAGTATAGAGGTAGGTATGCGTAGACCAAGTGTTCCAGTGCTAGGAATGCAAAAGACTCAGAAGAAGTTGTCTGAATTCCCTTTTCTTTAAATATTTGCTGAATGGCTTGTGTGACAAAAGATCTTAAATGGTTGAGGGTCAAAACATTTGTAATGAGTATGCCTTCTTATAATAGCATTTCCTTTAATACCTAGTTCTCGACTTTGAAAGAATGAGGCTTGGCCCTATAGTCATAATAGTCGATAGTACGTTCACCACTGGTTGTCTTGATACGAACTTTTATCCCTCTTGTTGTAATGGGCTTGCTGAGAATAAAAATCATTCTTCTTACCAAGAGACAAATACGCTTGGTGACTTAGCGAGTAGCTAAATGAGGCAGGAGATGATGCAATGGGTATCTGAATGGCCAAGATCTTCTCACTTGGTAGAACTTGACTTTCACTTCCCACTTGTTGATAGAGGTTAACCATATGGGGGTTCCCTTGGTATGTCATTGCTTCGGCGGAGGCGTGGTTGTAAGCCTGTGCCATCAGCTCAGAGTAAGTCTTCCAAGTGTTGGCATTGATCATGTACTTGAAAAAACAATCACATAGGCCTGCATTGAAGGCTTTGAAGGCGGTCTTGTCATCTGCCTCAGCGCAGCGAGAATACTCACGGCTGAAGCGACCAATATACTCTCGTAGTGACTCGTCCGGCTTTTAGTGAATAGTGTACAAGTCATCTGCAAAATGTAAGCGATCGGTCTGGAAGATGTGTTGAGAGACAAACAGTTTCCTTAGTTCCTCAAATGAGTTTACTATCTCGGGTGAAAGACGGCAATACCAATTTAGAGCTTCGCCAGATAGGGTGGAAGGGAAGAAAAGACAATGCTCTTCGTCGGTGTGCATCTGATATGCCAAGGTGGACTCAAAGGGGTTAAGGTGTTCAATCGTGTCCTCCCTTCTAGTATAGAGTTGTAAACCAAGCTTTTGTTTTGTCTTCGCTTGAAGGGGGTGTCGAGGATCCTCTTTGTGAGAGGGCTAGGCCTGAGTTGGTTCCAGTCAGGTATCTCGACCTGACGTTCGGCCTTCAACTTGTTTACTTCCTCAAGGAGTTATAGGACAATGGGGTCTTGAGTGGAGTCATGTACCACTGGAATTTTCTTCTATAAGTCTCCATCGCCTCTTGGAAGTAGGAAAGTTTGAGCAAGAGCGTGTGGTTTTTCCTTGGAATTATTGTACTGACTTCTAGGGCGAGTCTGTCGGAATACCTCCAAGTCCCCTGTACCTTCCTGTTCCTCTGGGATCTGTCGTTCTTTCCCTAGATTGGCAGTTGGCCTGGGTCGTGGGAGGGGACTGAGTTTTTTCATAAACCCTTGGGTCATTGATCTTCGAGCTTATGTGGATGAGATTATCTCAACGTTGCTTTAGGAAGTCTCGGCAGTCACGATAAATGACTTTCGATTCTTCTAACCCTTCTGCAAAGAGGTGTCTTCCTCCACTCCTCATGCTTGGGGTCGAAATAGCTGGGTTGAGAGAAGTCTCATGTTGATCAATGTTTTGATGATTAGCTCGCTCCTCATCAGGGATACCTATGTCGAATGAAGGTGACCTTTCGTGTTGTGGGGCACCCAGATGATGGTTGATGTCCACAGGGGCAACAAGCTCGCGTGTTTGAGTACACCTAGTTTCATGGAGCGTCTCAAAGAGCTTCTCATATTGTTCTTGAAGGATCTTATTCTTTATTGCTATCTTGTTGTTCTGAGCTTCTAGCTCCTCAACTTTAGCTTGAAGAACGAGTTTCTTTCATTGCTTCACACTAGGTGAGGGGGTGTCGTTCTGCGTGTTGTGGCTTCCTTCGCTCCCCATGTTGAAGAGGAATGTCTAGTTAAAAGAGAGTGTACCAATGGTGGAAACCATCTTGACAAAGCTGAAGAGAGTAGGAATAAGTGCGATTTCACACAGACGACGCCAAATATTGATGCACAAAATTAGCGAGGACTTTGGTATAACAGAAAGTGTCAAGTTTGTGACCTTCGCTAGATTGCTCCGATCACTAGTGTGGATAAGTATGTAAATGGATAGAGACAGGGAAGCAAACACAAGATGTATGTGGTTCACCCAGATTAGCTACGTCTACGGAGTAGAGGAGTTCTCATTAATTGTGAAGGGTTTACATAAGTACATAGGTTCAAGGTCTCCTTTAGTGAGTACTAGTGAATGGTTTAGTACAAATGACATTAGGAAATATTGTGAGATAATGATCTCCTTTTATAGAAGAGAGTTTCTAACTTTGATCTGACTTTGACACATGTTGTGCTGTGATTGGCCTCTGATGTTGACACGTGTCGCGCTATGATTGGCCTTTGATATCGACACGTGTCACGCTGTGATTGGCCTCTTGGTTGGAAGGAAACTCTTATGGATCATTGACGATATAACGTTGACTTGTGCTTAGTAGTTTCGGGATTGATCAAGTATGATACAAAACAAACTACATTAAAATTTATTAAAAATTACGAAAAAATACAAATAAATTATTAAAAAATACAGAAAATTAAAAAAAAAAATTCTATAAATACCTAACCCTCATCTTCCACCTTACACCACATTTCAATATTTTCTATACTTTCTACATTTCAATATTTTCTACACTTTGAAAGAAAAAAATGTCTACGTGGAAGGTCATTGAAGATGTTACATTGTGCGAATGTTGGGTTCACACAACTCATGACCCGATTACGAGTAATGAGATGGATAAGCGAGAAATGTGGAGTAAAATTAGGAAAGCGTTTTGTGATGTACATGGAATAAAAAAATGTAGGTCTTCATGGTCGTTGGAAAAAACTCAACGCATCCTTTACTTGTTGGAAAAACGCCATCTCTCATGCTTCCGGTAGTCTACGTAGTGGGACGAGTTTAGCGGATTAGGTGACCATATTTTTATTTATTTATATGTATTCCACCCGCATCAATATTTTAATTTATTTATAGGTGTTACACCCACATTTTTTATAATACTGTCTTATCCCACATTTATAGACACTACAAGCACAAGCTTTCTACAATGCGAAGAACCAACAAATCATTCAATAGATGGGAATGTTGGGAAATTGTCAAAGATTGCCCCAGATACAAAATTGTGGCAACCGGTCCAGAAGTTGTCACGCACGGCATGTGTCTACACAGTTCGCCAGAAGCAGACACGGTTGAACAAGAAGGCGAGACATTTGAAGACATGGAAGGGACGCCTGAAGAAGTACCGGAGACCCAACCGACTCGTCAGTCCCTCAGGGCTCAAGGTAAAAAGGCATCAAAGAAAAAAGGTAGTTCTTCCAAAAATGACTACACTAAATATATGGAGGAACTTGCTTGCCAAGGTGAACTGAACATGGCACGGAAGCGGCTAGAGATGAGGAAAAAGTTAATGTTATGGCAGCAATATTAGCAACTACTGAGAGACGTGATGCGGCGGTTGAGAGACAAAGAGAAATAGTTAATCGAGAGAACGAGATGATTAGAGAAGCACTTAATCGAGAAAATGAGATGCTTAGAGAAGAAATGATAGCTCAAGCAGATCGTGACATTATGAACAAGTCTCTAGTAGGATTGTCTCCGAATTCAAAATATTTTTGGACATCGGAAAAAAGAGACATCGTGCGAATGAGGCGTGAAAGAGATGCGGAAACAAGTCGAGGGGGTTATAGCTACACAAATCCTAGCAACGAAGATCCTAGCACCACATATCCTAGTTCCAGAGACTTTGTATAATTTCATATTTATTTGTAGTACTTTATTTAAATTCTTGTGTAATTTCTTATTTATTATTAGTACTTTATGTAATTGCTTATTTATTTTTATTTATAGATGTAATTTCTTATTTTGTGTAATTTCTTATTTATTATTAGTACTTTATGTAATTTCTTATTTATTTTTAAAACTTTATGCAATTTCAATTTTTTTTTGTACTTTATTTATACACATCAAATAAGATTACATAACCTCACCAAATAAACTTAAAAAAAAAATTGTACTTTTATAAAAAAAATATAAAATATTTTAAATGGGCTGGATGCCAGCGCATTTTATAGGGTGGAGATCGTTTGTGCCAGCACATTTTTAGACTGGGTGCTAGGGCATTTTTTTAGAGGTGGAGATGTTTTGACCTATTACTTTTCACTGGGATCTATTACTGTTCATTTGAGTGGATAAATGCGCTAGGTGCTGGCGCAAAGTGTTTAGGGGTGGAATTGCTCTTATAACCATTATGTCTTGTTATAGTTTGCATAAAAAGGGCATTGTTATGCTTTGGGAAAGATTCACGCAGGGTCACTTAAGGTACCAAAATCGGAAGCCGCACTCGAGGAGCTTGAATCCCTTCACAAGGTAATACAGTTTGTTTAGATTGCCTGTTTTGTGAGGGAATATGAGAGTTTAATTTCCAAATTTCACCAATGGAATATTCACTCCCAATCGATGGAAATACTAATTTCTAGCCCGTAAGATTTAGTTGTAGTGATCACTAGCAAAAATGCCCGCGCGTTGCCGCGGGATTTGAATGCACCAGTCTTATCCACACGTATAAGACATTTAACTTCAAAAAAAAAAATTCAACATAATCATGAACAAACAAAAGGGATAGATGAGTGAAAGGTGTCGGTAAAATAAGCAGTTCGGCTTTTATATACATTCAACCGATCTGATTACAAAAGATACAGTGGCAAAAAATCCTATCTAAGATCCTATTTGTTTTTTATTGACTGATGCTTCAACATCATCCACCTAATTCATATCACACATCCATAGATACATGAGAATGCTTATTCTCACCACTATTGCGTTGTTACTTTAGTATGTTTTTTCACTGAGAAGAAAAGGAAAGAGCATCACAAAAAACACAAACAATTTCAACTCTAAAACGTCACCTTATTCCTATAACCCACCTCAATCAACCACAAAAGAAGAAAAATAATTGATCCCTTCAAAGATGCTTTCATAAACTAAAAGATGTCCAACCCATCCAAACGAAAGTGGGATGTTTGGACCTACAATTTGATCCGCAGTATTCTTATTGCATGTAAAACTAATTTTAGGGAACCAAATCTTAGCAAACCAAACAAAACAAATCCCCAAATCAATTAAAAAAAAATTAGGCCAAAAGAACCCCACACCTAACAAAACCCCAAATTTGCTCAAAAAAAAATTTATCTTATTTTAGCAAAATGAATTCCAACTGGCCACAAACCAAAGCCTTGACCAAAATGAATAGCACTTAAGTGTCAACCAAATTCGCAAACATTTAAAAGTTCTTCGATTGTCACACACCAAAACAACATATCAAATTAAAAAACCAATGCAATGTTAGTGAAATAAACTTGCACGGTATTTTAAGTTGTAAAACAATCACCTTGCGAATGAATAGGCATACCTGATTCTTCCAAATCCTTTCACCTCCATCCTAGAATTCGTCCCCTGTATCACCACAAAAACATGTAAAAAAATCCGAGAAAATCAAATGTTATAAACACCAAATTCCAAATTTGCAATCAAAACCAAATTCCAAACGATGATTGTATGCATATCCAAGCCATAAGGGAACCAAATTTAAAGAATTATTTGGAGATCAAAAGCCTAATGTAAACCCTAATAAAGTTAATAAATTTTATAATAATCCTCCAATGTGGGACAACATGAAGACCTTTTGTCGAGTTGTGTTTGTATTTCGTTCCAAGGACTGCGTAACTAACAAATCAGGGCTCAAAAATTCAGATTCATCTTTCAAAGGAAGAGAGAGAGACAGTGTTACAGTGACAATGGCAGTGAGAGCTAAGAAATAGGAATCCATGACTCTTCCCATGGAAATTGTTTTGGATTGTTGCTCTTGAATAAAAAAACTCTCCGCTTTGCTTGCAGCTGCCGAGTTATCAAAAGTGGAAAGGAAGCCCTTCGAAAATTCAATACAATAGGAAAAATTTATTTGCTGCAGTTTAACACCGTCAGATTCCAAGTAAATCATATTATTTTAACAATTCTCAATTTTAACACCGTCATGTGAATTTGGAAAATTAATTCTGCGCAAAAATAATATTAACAGTTTGCATCATTGAATCGAACTAAAAACATGGTAATGCCATTAAATCTCTCCTCTTAGAATTACATATCATTGTTTATATGGTTTGCTGTAAATAGTAAAATTCAACTAAATACTTTCAATAAGAACAACTGAAGGCATCTAAATGGTAATATTGTTAATTACCAGCCATTGCAAAACCTTCCAGTAGGCAGGTTCACAAAGTCCCTTCCATAAGGAGGGTAATCAACCTTTCAGTGTCTGCCAACCATCGCCTTACATCCAAAGCCCCCATCTGCAGCAACCTAAACCAACCAAAATCCAAAATCCTGAAATTCCTAAACACAATAAATATTAGTAATTCTGAGACTTTCAAATATAAGGAGATGGACCAACACAGAGAGAAAAGATTTAAATTTACAGCAAGATGAAAGTTTTTTTCAAATTTGAGGGCCAAATCTAATGAAATTTAGCAAAATGACCAAACATATGTGGAATCTTTTGCATCCCTGGGAATTCTGGATTAGGGTCTTACGGAGATGAAGATATAAGCAATGTCTATAGGGATTTAATTTGGTAATTGTTCTTTTATTCTTGAAGAGATGCTAGAGTAAAAATTTCAAAGACTAATTCTAAAGTTTTCTCAAATAAATAAATGTAGGCTGCATGGTTCATTGCTATTGAGAAAAGAAAACACCTTAACAAAGTGGAAGCTATCTTATCGTGTGTGTTAAGCTTTTTTTATTATTGGAAACCCATGATATACAATCATGAGCTCTACGTAAAGAAACATTGGAATTGTCATGAGAAAAAATCAATAACCAACCATATGACCCACAATTTAAGCCTCGCCTTGCTTGCTAATAGTGGGGTTTTAAAGCTAGAAGCCCATTAAACATTGATAGACACCAGACTCCCCAATGATGCAAATTTCTATTGCATATCTGACCAAAACAACCTTCACACAGAATATCCACTTAGAAGCCTACTTCCTACAACCAATTTTAAAACATGCATAGAAATTTTGCATGTTTGATTTCTGAAAAACAATCAGTATCTAAGATGGTAGAACTTTGGAGATGCTTGACAAAAGAATACGTATAGGGTGGACTAATACATATATATATGTGTGTGTGTGTGTGTGTGTTTGTCCAACTGTCCATAAATTCCTTACCACATCAACCTTGACCCATTCAACAACAACAACAACAACAAAGCCTTTTCCCACTAAGTGGGGTCGGCTATATGAATCCTAGAACGCCATTGCGCTCGGTTTTGTGTCATGCCCTCCGTTAGATCCAAGTACTCTAAGTCTTTTCTTAGAGTCTCTTCCAAAGTTTTCCTAGGTCTTCCTCTACCCCTTCGGCCCTGAACCTCTGTCCCGTAGTCACATCTTCGAACCGGAGCGTCAGTCGGCCTTCTTTGCACATGTCCAAATCACCAGAGCCGATTTTCTCTCATCTTTCCTACAATTTCGGCTACTCCTACTTTACCTCGGATATCCTCATTCCCAATCTTATCCTTTCTCGTGTGCCCACACATCCCACGAAGCATCCTCATCTCCGCTACACCCATTTTGTGTGTATGTGTTGATGCTTCACCACCCAACATTCTCTGCCATACAACATCGCTGGCCTTATTGCCGTCCTATAAAATTTTTCCTTGAGCTTCAGTGGCCTACGACGGTCACACAACACGCCGGATGCACTCTTTCCATCCAGCTCGTATTCTATGGTTGAGATCTCCATCTAATTCTCCGTTCTCTTGCAAGATAGATCCTAGGTAACGAAAACGGTCGCTTTTTGTGATCTTCGCTAGATTGCTCCCGGTCATTAGTGTGGATAAGTATATAAATGGATAGAGATAGGAAAGCAAACACAAGATGTACGTGGTTCACCCAGATTGGCTACGTCCACGGAATAGAAGAGTTCTCATTAATTGTGAAGGGTTTACACAAGTACATAGGTTCAAGCTCTCCTTTAGTGAGTACGAGTGAATGATTTAGTACAAATGACATTAGGAAATATTGTGGGAGAATGATCTCGTAATCACGAAACTTCTAAGTATCGGAGTGTGGTGTCGTCTTGACTTGCCTTATCTGTCTCATAGGTAGATGTGGCATCTTCTCTGGAAGTACTCTTCCTCCATCCAGGGGTGGTATCTTTAACTGGTGGAGATGCACAAGGTAATGTATCAATTTCACTTGAAGCTTACTTGTAGTTTCAGGCTTGGTCAAGTGCGATACAAACCATGTAGTAGGAGTCCCCCAAGTCGCCGAAGCTAGGGGGCCGAGCTAGGGGTCTGCTGAAAGAGGTGACAGACAAGGTAAGCAATCAGAGCTCCGACTGATTGTTCACCTTCTCCCCATCTTGCAGCAGCATGAAGGATAAAGAGAAGAAAAATGAGAAGAGATGATATGAGATACTTTTGCTTTTGAAGAAGTAACTTTCCACAGGCTTATTCTTGAACTCAGCTGGAGGGTTTTCTGGTTTCCTCCAGAGTATAAGGCCGACTGAAGAATTTGAGGGTCAAAACAAGTCCATCAAATCTAGAGTACGTTCCACCCTGCTGATATGGGATACTTTTGCTTTTGACAGAGTAATGGATGTATCGGCACGTGTGCTGTTACGCTTGTCTCCACATGCTTCCTTGTATCCTTCGCACTTGCCCTATCTGTTCCTCAAGCAGATGCGGAATCTTCCCTGGAAACATAAGATGATGAAGATGAGTACTCGAGAGCAATGCCAGGTAAGTAATCAGGTAAGGGGTTCCAGGCAGTCAGTTCCTGGCTGGAAGCTTGATTCCAAGTGCTGACATATTGCTCTCTTTCTCCTTGTCTTGCAGGTAAAAACAAGGCCAAAAGAAAAAACAGGGAAAAAGCATGATATGGGATACTCTTGCTTTTAACCCTGATGATATGAGATATTCTTGCTCTAGTATAGCTTGTTTGCAGAGGTATTATCGGGGGGAAAGAAAGCTGAATATTTCGAAAGGCTTTGTTGGGAGTGCCATCTCAGATATGATGAAGGGTTGAGCATTTTTGCAGGTCTGCCTGTCCGTTGGGATGGAGGTCGACATATATAGGAGTCTCCCTAACAACAAGTAGTAATGTTATTCCTTTACCCTGCTTGGTCATAGCACGGTAGTGGGAGCTGCCAGTTTCACATGTTTTAACTCTGTCAGAGCACTTTGAAAAAGTGGTCTGTGGTATCTGGCTCTCGAGATTCGGAGAACGATGCCTCTTCGATTTTTGAGAAAGCAATCATGCTGGGGGTCTGACTCTCGAGATTCGGAGAGCAGTGTCTCTTCGATTTTTGAGGAAGTAATCATGTTGGGAGTCTGGCTCTCGAGATTCGGAAGGCGGTGCCTCTTCGATTTTGGAGCAAGCAATCTTGTTGGGAGTGTTGTCTCGAATGTGAGTAAAGGTTGGACATGTTTGCTAGTCTACCTTGCCACGAAGCACAAAGGTTGACACACAGGGACTTTCCAATTATCCAGCAATGGTACTGTTCCTTTACCCTCTCTTCGATTTTGAGAAAGTAGTCATGTTGGGAGTCTGGCTCTCGAGATTCGGAGGACGGTGCCTCTTCGATTTTGGAGCAAGCAATCTTGTTGGGACTGTTTTCTCGAATGTGAGTAAAGGTTGGGCATGTTTGCTAGTCTACCTTGCCACGAAGCACAGAGGTTGACACACAGGGACTTTCCAATTATCCAGCAGTGGTACTGTTCCTTTACCCTTGTGGGTAATAATATGGTAGCTAGACCTTCAAAATTTATGTGTCTAAACTTTGTTAGTGCTGTTTCTTTGCTATTCTTTTACCTTTCTTGGTCAGAGCGATGTAGTGGGAGCTGCAAGCTTCACGTGCTCAACTTTTGGCAGAGAACTTTGGCAAAGTGATCTGTGGTACCCATGAGTTATTGTTGCGTGTGGGAAGTGGGTGATTGAACAGTAAGATTCATGTGCTTTCTATTTCACCAGAAGTCTTCGACAGAATGCCCATAATTTCTGCAAAGCTGAGTGTGCGTGTGACAGGTGCTGACAAGGCTAGAAAAGTAGATGCCTCTTCGATTTCTGAGATCGGCCCTCGTGGTATCTGAGCAGCCCAGCTTTTGAGAAAGCGAGCGCCTCTTCGATTGATTCGGAGAACGGTGCCTCACCGATTTTTGAGAAAGCAATCATGCTGGGGGTCTGGCTCTCGAGATTCGGGGAGCAGTGTCTCTTCAATTTTTGAGAAAGTAATCATGTTGGGAGAGTGGCTCTCGAGATTCGGAGGGCGGTGCCTCTTCGATTTTGGAGCAAGCAATCTTGTTGGGAGTGTTTTCTCGAATGTGAGTAAAGGTTGGGCATGTTTGCTAGTCTACCTTGCCACGAAGCACAGAGGTTGACACACAGGGGACTTTCCAATTATCCAGCAATGGTACTGTTCCTTTACCCTCTCTTCGATTTTTAAGAAAGTAGTCATGTTGGGAGTCTGGCTCTTTAGATTCGGAGGACGGTGCCTCTTCGATTTTGGAGCAAGCAATCTTATTGGGAGTGTTTTCTCGAATGTGAGTAAAGGTTGGGCATGTTTGCTAGTCTACCTTGCCACGAAGCACAGAGGTTGACATACATGGACTTTCCAATTATCCAGCAGTGGTACTGTTCCTTTACCCTTGTGGGTAATAATATGGTAGCTAGACCTTCAAAATTTATGGGTCTAAACTTTGTTAGTGCTGTTTCTTTGCTATTCTTTTACCCTTCTTGGTCAGAGCGATGTAGTGGGAGCTGCAAGCTTCACGTGCTCAACTTTGGCAGAGAACTTTGGCAAAGTTATCTGTGGTACCCATGAGCTATTGTTGCGTGTGGGAAAGTGGGTGATTGAACAGTAAGATTCATGTGTTTTCTACTTCCCCAGAAGTCTTTTGACAGAATGCCCATAATTTCCGCAAAGCTGAGTGTGCGTGTGACAGGTGCTGACAAGGCTGGAAAAGTAGGTGCCTCTTCGATTTCTGAGATCGGCCCTCGTGGTCTCTAGGGAGCCCAGCTTTTGAGAAAGCGAGCGCCTCTTCGATTTCTGAGATCGGCCTTCGTGGTCTTTGAGCAGCCCAACTTTTGAGAAAGCAAACGGCTCTTCGATTTCTGAGATCAACCCTCGTGATCTCTAAGCAGCCCAACTTTTGAGAAAGCAAACGCCTCTTCGATTTCTGAGCAGGCGCCTCTTTGATTTCTGAAGCTCCGTCGAGTGCAGATTTTTATAGAGGCTGGCATTAAGTTCCAAAGCACACTTGAATCTCCACCAGTAGAAGCTTCATTCTTGCACTTCTAAGATCTTGATTTGTCCGACCTCTTCTCTCTTCAACACCTTTGAAAATGTCTGGCCCCTCCGACCGTCGTTTTGACTTGAACCTTGTTGAAGAGGCAGCCCCGCCTTCTCCAGACAACATATGGCGCCCATCCTTCGTCTCCTCAACTGGTCCTCTTACCGTTGGGGATTCCGTGATGAAGAATGATATGACCGCTGCGGTGGTGGCCAGGAACCTTCTCACTCCCAAAGATAACAGACTACTTTCCAAACGGTCTGATGAGTTAGCTGTTAAGGATTCGCTGGCTCTCAGTGTTCAGTGTGCAGGTTCTGTGTCTAATATGGCCCAACGCCTATTTGCTCGAACCCGCCAAGTTGAATCATTGGCGGCTGAAGTGATGAGTCTCAAACAGGAGATTAGAGGGCTCAAGCATGAGAATAAACAGTTGCACCGGCTCGCACATGACTATGCTACAAACATGAAGAGGAAGCTTGACCAGATGAAGGAAACTGATGGTCAGGTTTTACTTGATCATCATAGATTTGTGGGTTTGTTCCAAAGGCATTTATTGCCTTCGTCTTCTGGGGCTGTACCGCGTAATGAAGCTCCAAATGATCCCCCTCCGGTGCCTTCTCTTTCTGGGGCTCTACCGACTGCTGAGACTTCTCCTAAGCAACCTTTGTGAAGGCTCCCTCTTGTGTGTTTATTTTGACTCATGTATATGTACATATTTGTAGCTTATCGGGAATATCAATAAATAAGCTTTCCTTCATTTCAACGTATTGTGTTAAATACACCAAAGCCTTCTTCGCTAAGTTCTTTGAATTTTCTTTTGTTGAAGCTTGTATGTTGAAGCTTTCTGAGTGGAGCATGTAGGTTGGGGTAGTGTTCCCTTAAGTTCCCGAGTGAGGAAAACTTCTTGGTTGGAGACTTGGAAAATCCAAGTCACTGAGTGGGATCGGCTATATGAATCTTAGAACGCCATTTGTGCTCGATCCTGTGTCATGTCCTTCGTTAGATCCAAGTACTCTAAGTCTTTTCTTAGAGTCTCTTCCAAAGTTTTCCTAGGTCTTCCTCTACCCCTTCGGCCCTGAACCTCTGTCCCATAGTCGCATCTTCTAATCGGAGCGTCAGTAGGCCTTCTTTGCACATGTCCAAACCACCGTAACCGATTTTCTCTCATCTTTCCTTCAATTTCGGCTACTCCTACTTTACCCCGGATATCCTCATTCCTAATCTTATCCTTTCTTGTGTGCCCACACATCCAACGAAGCATCCTCATCTCCGCTACACCCATTTTGTGTACGTGTTGATGTTTCACCGCCCAACATTCTGTGCCATACAGCATCGCCGGCCTTATTGCCGTCCTATAAAATTTTCCCTTGAGCTTCAGTGGCATACGGCGGTCACACACACACGCCGGATGCACTCTTCCACTTCATCCATCCAGCTTGTATTCTATGGTTGAGATCTTCATCTAATTCTTCTCCGTTCTTTTGCAAGATAGATCCTAGTAACGAAAAAAACGGTCGCTCTTTGGTATTTCTTGATCTCCGATCCTCACCCCTAACTCGTTTTTGGCCTCCATTTGCACTGAACTTGCACTCCATATATTCTGTCTTTGATCGGCTTAGGCGAAGACCTTTAGATTCCAACACTTCTCTCCAAAGGTTAAGCTTTGCATTTACCCCTTCCTGAGTTTCATCTATCAACACTATATCGTCTGCGAAAAGCATACACCAAGGAATATCATCTTGAATATGTGTCCTGTTAACTCATCCATTACCAACGCAAAAAGGTAAGGACTTAAGGATGAGCCTTGATGTAATCCTACAGTTATGGGAAAGCTTTCGGTTTGTCCTTCATGAGTTCTTACGGCAGTCTTTGCTCCTTCATACATATCCTTTATAGCTTGGATATATGCTACTCGTACTCCTTTCTTCTCTAAAATCCTCCAAAGAATGTCTCTTGGGACCCTATCATACGCTTTTTTCCAAATCTATAAAGACCATGTGTAAATCCTTTTTCCCATCTCTATATCTTTCCATCAATCTTCGTCGTAAGAGATAGATTGCCTCCATGGTTGAGCGCCCTGGCATGAACCCGAATTGGTTGTCCGAAACCCGTGTCTCTTGCCTCAATCTATGCTCAATGACTCTCTCTCCCAGAGCTTCATTGTATGACTCATTAGCTTAATACCCCTATAGTTCATGCAATTTTGTACGTCGCCCTTATTCTTGTAGATATAGGCACCAAAGTGCTCGTTCGCCACTCATTTGGCATCTTCTTCGTTTTCAAAATCCTATTGAAAAGGTCAGTGAGCCATGTTATACCTCTGTCTCTCCAAAAACTTTCCACACACTTCGATTGGTATATCGTCTGGGCCTATTGCTTTTCTATGCTTCATCTTCTTCAAAGCTACAACCACTTCTTCCTTCCGGATTCGACGATAAAAGGAGTAGTTTCTACACTCTTCTGAGTTACTCAACTCCCCTAAAGAAGCACTCCTTTCATGTCCTTCATTGAAAAGATTATGAAAATAACCTCTCCATCTGTCTTTAACCGCGTTCTCTGTAGCAAGAACCTTTCCATCCTCATCCTTGATGCACCTCACTTGGTTTAAGTCCCTTGTCTTCTTTTCCCTTGCTCTAGCTAGTTTATAGATATCCAACTCTCCTTCTTTGGTATCTAGTCGTTTATATACATATCGTCGTAAGCCGCTAACTTAGCTTCTCTGACAGCTTTCTTCGCCTCTTGCTTCGCTTTTCTATACCTTTCACCATTTTCATCGGTCCTCTCCTTGTATAAGGCTTTACAACATTCCTTCTTAGCCTTCACCTTTGTTTGTACCTCCTCATTCCACCACCAAGATTCCTTTTGGTGTGGGGCAAAGCCCTTGGACTCTCCTAATACCTCTTTTGCTACTTTTCGGATACAACTAGCCATGGAATCCCACATTTGGCTAGCTTCCCCCTCTCTCTATCCCACACACATTGGGTGATTACCTTCTCTTTGAAAATGGCTTGTTTTTCTTCTTTTAGATTCCACCATCTAGTTCTTGGGCACTTCCAAGTCTTGTTCTTTTGTCTTACTCTTTTGATATGTACATCCATCACCAACAAGCGATGTTGATTAGCCACGCTCTCTCCTGGTATAACTTTGCAATCCTTACAAGTTATACGATCCCCTTTCCTCATTAGAAGAAAAATCTATTTGTGTTTTTTGACGACCCACTCTTGTAGGTGATCACATGTTCTTCTCTCTTCTTAAAGAAGGTGTTGGCTAAAAAAGAGATCATATGCCATTGCAAAATCCAAGATAGCTTCCCCATCCTCGTTTCTCTCCTCCCCAAAACCATGGCCACCATGAAAACCTCCATAGTTGCCTGTCTCCCTGCCCACGTGTCCATTTAAATCTCCTCCTCCTATAAATAACTTCTCCGTCTGAGCAATTCCTTGCACCAAGTCTCCAAGATCTTCCCAAAATTTCTCCTTTCGAACTCGTATCCAACCCTACTTGAGGTGCGTACGCACTAATCACATTGATAAGTTCTTGTCCTATTACAATCTTGATTGCCATGATTCTATCTCCTACCCTCTTGACATCTACAACATCTTGTACCAAGGTCTTGTCCACGATGATGCCAACACCGTTTCTCGTTCTATTTGTGCCCGAATACCAAAGTTTAAACCCTGAGTTTTCTAGATCCTTTGCCTTACTACCAACCCACTTAGTTTCTTGTAGGCACATAATATTTATCCTTCTCCTCACCATAACTTCCACTACTTCCATAGATTTTCCCGTTAAGGTTCCTATATTCCACGTTCCTAAACGCATTTTGCTCTCTTGAACTCTACCCTTCTGTCCTAGCTTCTTCACCCTCCCCCGTCTAATAGGATCAAAGTACTTCTTTTGTGTGTCCCGGGTAAAGTTGATAGGAGCATATGCTCCCAAACAACCTTGACCCATTCGAATCTATAAATTTGAACTTGTTTGGATTCCCATGGCTACACTTCTTTACAAACACTTATCAGCTGCTAATAATTAAACTGACCAACTATGATTACTGTGATGAGCTATAGGATACAAAATGTGTGATATAATTATGTTTGTTTAGTAAAACTATTACACAGCTAATGTTTCTCTCGCCTCTCTTTTCCTTCCAATAATGATTGATACAAAACAGCTATTCTTCATTGGGAATCAAGGATTGCAACATTAATATTATCAATGATCGACAATGTAAATTGACCCAAATAAAGGGATAGTCCACATTAAAATATGTAGACTTAAAACATTCTTCTACATCCACCAAAAATCTTCACTTTTTAAATCCTCTAAAACCATATCGTGGTCAAATACATTTGAATTTTCATAAGCTTTATGCTGTTAAAAGTTTAAAATCAGATAATAAAAAATAAGTAAGTACAGGATAGGAAGTCAATGAAACCTGCAATGTTAAATCCTGAGCCGACAGCACGTTTCCTGCAATGGTTCACGTGGCTACCTCAAAACAGGTTGACAATTAAGCTTTATTATGAATGGAAAGATTAATAGATGATAATTAAGAAGGATCAAGAGGAACAAAAAAGCCAATGAACTGATGAAAGAGCAAAAAAGAGAAACAAAAAACCTCAATTAAGCAATTAAATGGAGTACTACTTGATGGTGTAGAAAAATGAATGATTGAGAAATTCAAGCTCTGAGCTCAAAGTTGGGGCTTCCACTTTCCAACTGGGGAAGAAATAACAGACAAAACACAGAGAGCCAATCCACCTAAAATATTAATCAAATTGGTTTTCTTCTAATTCAATTTGGACCACCCAAATTCCGATGAAGCAATAACCATTCAAAATTCCAACAAATAGAAGCCCTCACAGACTACAAATCATCAATACCAGCAGTAAAAATTTTGAAAACAGTAATAATGAAGGAAAAAGAAATTAAAGATGCGACCCATTCTCTAAATCTCAGACACCAATCCAAATTACCAATAATTTACATACCAATATCAGACACCTGAATGTTGGCTGCAGCTAAATAAACAACACATTAGGACCAAGTAACTTTCTGTTTTGAGCCGCACACACACACACACAAAATATGATACAAAACAGTAAAAAAGCAGCAAAAGGCATTCTCAAATACACAAAAATATAAGATCAGATGAATCCCTACGTATTAGGGTTTCAGAGCACAAAAAAATTTACATTCTTCAATAAAAAAAATAAAAAAACCCAAAGAAAAAAGCTGAAATTATATACCTCAAGCACAAACAGCTTGGAAGCCTACACACAATACAAACAATAACAACAACAACAACAACAACAACAACAACAAAGCCTTTTCCCACCAAGTGATGTCGGCTATATGAATCCTAGAACGCTATTGCACTCCCCAAAAAATGAAAACCACCGTTTCTTGAAAATAGAAAGAGAACCAAATCATACACCCACACTCAGAATTCCAACATAAAAACAAAACCCCAATTTTTTTTTTTTTTACGCAACGACTCATTTATATATAAATTCAAGAAGCAGCAAAAATCCAAACAACTCTTTCGTTTATGAACAACCCAACTTCTGTAGAACAGCTGTGAGTACCTGCATAAACATTCAACGCGTAACCCATTGCTCAATCCTTCAAGTAAAAGTTAAACAAATGCCACTATAGTAGTTTGAGGGAGGCGCATTGCTACCGACGAAGTTGAAGGAAAATAGAAGCTCTGCAGATAGCAGGCTTGAATCCACAACTATTCAAAAATTAAAGATCCCAGTAGCAGGGCAGTGAAGAAATCCCCGGGAGAGTACAGAAACACAAAATTGAAGCTCTAGCCGGCTGGGACCGACAACCATTCAAAATTGAAGATCCCGGAGCAGGGCAGTAGTGAAGCACAAAAATCCCAGAGGCCAAGGGAGTGCAGAAGAACAAAACCAATGAAGCAGAAGAAGCAGACGACACCTCAACACAAAAAGCAAAGAAAAAAGTACAGAGTTTTAGTGGCAAGGGTAGAAATTTCATTTGATATTGGCATGAACATGATAATCCAAGCAAAACAACCGAGGAAGTCTTTTTACCTAGCCACAGCATGAGCAATGTCAAATCCACCCATATGTCAAAACCCTATACTTAAGTTTCATATAAAAAAATCAAATAGAAAATCAAGACAAAAAATTGGATTAATTGACACTAATTCAAGTCAATTGAATAGCCAAGGTCAAAAATCCATACCCAAATATATTTGTTAAAACTAATATGAAATAGAAATTAATCATGCAAAGGGCTGTTAACAATAATAATAAGAATGTGGTTTTGGTGGTGCCATTGGTAGATGGTACTCCATACTTGAGCCTCAAAAGGTGTTTATTCTTACCAAATAAGTATACATAAGAAGATTTATGAGATAGCTGCACGGCAATGGCATAAATACAGATTTCGGGAAACAATTGTCTAGTTAAGGAACAATCCCATTAACAACTCAGTATGAAATATGGACAAAGAGTGAGACATTACTCACATAAAGTTATTTGGGATCACCATTTGTGCCAGCAACAAAGGCTGGGGTCAATGAGATAATCAACAACCTTCCCACATTGCAAAAGAATACGTTAAAAAGAAGCATGCTTAGGAAATCATTTCTTAATAAATTAACATAGAAAGAGAAGACTACTACCTTTCTTTGGTGTCAGTTGGAAAATCCTTTATGCAGAAACGTGAAAAAGAACAAATCAGAGATGCACTTACACCACAATTCATGATCATTATCCAAAATTTGCAAAGCAAACATACAATCAAACAGATACCTCTCTATTTTTCATCTCTCTCTCCCTGTTATTTGTATTGTGATAAGGTTTATGATATACAATGATTTTACCAAACTTTAATAATAAAAAACATCACAGTAGAAGTTTAACATGAGAGAAAGAGTCAATCTCTACCTTTGATGTGTTGATCCTACCATTCCCTTGCATGCTTGATCTCTACATAAAAATAGAGTTTGGTTGGTGAGAAGATGCAGAGAAAACGAACAAAATTTAATCTAATTCTAAATTTACCAATATTAACAGAACCAATAACTTAATAACATTTTTACATCATTAATTAGTAGAAAACAATACATAAATACAACCCAACAAAATAAACATACTGCATTCATTGCTGAAACAGGGAGCCAACCTCCATGCTGCTGTTGTGGAAAATCCAGCAGAGGAATCACTGCAGACTGTTTGTAGTTGGATGGATAATGGGATAGTATCTCTTTCACCTAAAACTGAAAAAAATGACACCTTTTAGAACTCAATAAACATAAAAATAATCTTGCAAGTGCCAAATAATGGATATAATCAATGCTCGTGGTCTGACAGCTCAATTCAAGAACTTATATAACATCATCATCATATGAATCAGTAAGATAACTTTCTAAAATGCGATAAATAACTTGGGGAAATTTAAACCTTATAGGACAATTCAATTCTAGTAACTCAACTTAGCAACGTGGTTGGAACGTTCAGCACCCCCTACTCTCTAGTTATGTATAAATTCAAAACTGAGCATGTTTGAATTAAGGGTGCTAAGAAAATCCTAAACCTTTTATACACATCTTTGCTTAAATATCAGGGCTTGTAATGTTTGACATAAATAGCTCAGCCTAAAGCACACGTTGACAACCAAATTACACAATCTTTCTCCTTTTTTCATCTTTTCACAACTACACGTCTTTCGCCAAAGTTACTGCATTGCATCACCATTGAATAATATGCTACAAACTAATTAGGCAAATGGGTCACTGAAAGTCACTGCAAAAATGCTCTGCAGAATTATTAATTCCAACAAAATTGATAGAACCGAGTGGAAGTTTGTAAGACCCATTTGCACGAAGGAAATGGGTACTCTGTAGAAACTGAAATGATAGAAAATTGATAGTTCATGATTTTGGTAGTCCAGATTAGATTAGCTTTAGACTCTGCCAGTTTATTGCATGCCTTTTATCCATAATTCATGTCCTAATTTATCTGTTTAGGTTTTAGTTCTTGCCTTCGGGAAAACCCAAAAGGAAAACCCAAAATGTCTACCTCAAACACTCATCTGCAACCATACTCGTTACACCCCGTCTCTTTCCCCAACCCCTGCTTCACCAAATGACACACCCATACCTCTCTCCCCAGAGCTAAGGAGCAACCAAATTCAACAACAATATAACAAAACTTAAACAAAATACCTGCTTTTACTCCCTCAATCCTCTAAGAACCCATAATTTTTTCAATCAGAAAAAGTAAAAATTAAGCATCGACTTAAATCCTAATAAAATGATTAAGTAATCAGCAACACCTAGTTCAAATTTTTACAAATTCACCAACAACACACTCCAACACATCCCCAAATAGCTCAGAAATAGTGAAATTTGATTCGATTCAATTCAATTAATTTCAATTCAATTAGTTCAATTCAACAATTATAATCATTATTATTATATTGGAACTAAATTGGTTGATAGGACACCTTTAAAATCACAAATCTGATAAGCAATCTCACAATTAACGCAGATTATGTTCATATCAAAATCCATACAAAAATACAAATTCGGAAATAGAGTGTAAATTCCATCAAACACGAAGAGAGAGAGAGAGAGAGAGAGAGAGAGAGAGAGAGAGAGTACCTGTTGTTGCTTGGCGACCTGATCTCTTAGCTTCCTGATTGCCTCCATTGCAGCTCAATTGTAGGTAATCTCGATTTTTAAAAGTTGTGCTTCAAGCCTTAATCTAGACTCTGGAGGCTGAGTGGGTTTATCAAAAATAATAATTTAATAAGAAATTAACATTGAAAATAAATCAAGAATCTAGAAAAAAATGAAAATTTCATACTGAATGAAAGAAGCATCCTTCAAGTAATAATAGGTATGGTGATTTCCTTTCACCTTTTTCTTTTAACACCCTTATCACACAATACAGAAGCAACAAAACATGGAGAAACAACCTAGCAACAGAAAGATACTCAAAGGATGTAAAGCAGAAAAGGAACCTCAATTCGATTTGTTGAGAAATATTGGGAAAACTAAATAAACAAATAAAATTAAAAGGTAAGTGCATGAAAAATCAAATCTTTCACTCCTATAAAATGAAAGCAATTTTTTTTGTCGTTGATGAGTCTAAAATCACATCCTCATAATACTCAAAAGTAAAAGAAATATAGCATAAGATTTAATTACGGCCCTTGATGGTGCGCTCCTAAAGAAAGAAAGACAGCGCTCATAAAGAGAGAAAGACAGACACAGAGAGAGAAGAGAAAGATGATATGTCTCCATATGGTATTCTGGAGCCAAAAGAAAAGCTGCAGACGGAAATAAGCTGGAAGGAATCAATTTAAGATAAACGTTCAACAACAGAAATCAAGAAATCAATTTAAGATTACTGACCCACGTAGGTAAGCTGCTGTGAAGGTAAAGAGGCCCAAGAAGCTCATATGAATGAAAGGATTTTGCTTGCTGCACATATAGACCTGTAAACTCGAGCAAACCCAACGTCAATCAGACCATAGGCCGAAAATCTCAACAAACAAAAAACTGAGCACAAATTCAAAGATCACAGAGAGAAATTGTGACCCTAATTTGTGAAACTGCAGAAATCTGAAATGTAGAGAGAGGGGGAACATATCCCAAACGATCCCATATTTTGGAACTACTTTAAACCAACCTACCATGAAATTATAGCTGCTTGAGAAATCTTCAAATCAGAACGGAACAGCAGCTAGGGGAAGAATTTGCAAATCCCTGAAATCCCTCCCTCTCTCGCTCTGTCTCCGTCTCTCTCTCTCTCTCTCTCGGTCTCTCTATCTCTATCTTAGAGGCGGCATGGCCTCCTGTCTGCCCTACAATCCCCTCACCATCAATCCCAATTTTTGGCAGACCTCCCTCTCCCTGACATTCCACACCCTCATCCCCTTCTCTGTCTGTAACTAATCCAGCCCCATTCCACAAACCCAGCCCAAGCCTTACCCCCACTCCGGCCCCCTCACTTTCTCGAAACCAACTCTCAAACCCTAGAACGCAGCACTCTCACTCTCTCACAACCCTCTGAATGACACGGATGCAAATTTAGCAGTTTACAGAGAAATATAAATATTGTTTTCAAGGAATTAATATGATTCAAATGTAATAGCTCCATACATAGTGAGGTAGGATAAATGATGGAAAACGCACTGAAATTTGAGGTCCATAGGTTGAGAAGAGTCCATAGCATTGACCCATATATGGATATCTTGCACAGATCTACAATTCAAGCTCCGAACAAAGTATCAATTTATTAGCAATTGTGACATTCATTATTCCTAAGTAACAGAAGCTAATCTAAACAAAATTACCATAGAGAAGGAAAGAATTTTATTTGCTATAGAAAAATTATAGTTTTGATACCTTACAAAGGTAACTTGTTCAAAAAGATTGAAAGCCAGCAGTTTTCAATCTTGAAATTCGACAGCATCCTTTGAAAAATAGTGACCATCATCGGATAGAACTATTGTACCACCTACAGGAAAGAAAAAACAATGAGTTACTAAGATATTCTTATACACAAAAAGAAAACACTTGAAGCTGAATGAACAAAATATTCAAACATGGAAAGCACGTCATGAGGGACAATCTATCGTTTTTGGCCAAGTGAGGAATGATATCTTGAGTACTGAGAGAGAAAAGTAGTTCCACATTATTTTATGATACCTGTTGGGTTAGTCTTGTATTTCACTTTATTTATAAAATCGACTACTGATATGGTTACAACTCTGCCAACATCACCCATAGTATTGGGTGTCCATCTAATTTAACTTAAATTTCTCCTTCAATCTTGGATATACATAATGCTTCAGTTTAAGTTTTACCACACAAAAAAATTGGGAGTGTAAATGGGTTTTAACTGCAACTCAGTAAAATAAAAAACAACGAAAATTGAATATTATTTACCATAAACTGACTTGCAAATTTAAATGCAAGAATGTAAATGAAGAGAATTCGCTTCATCATGTTCGGCAAGGAAATAAATAGCAACGAAAATAGTATGATTTGGTGACCCTTACCTTAACTTATTCCAACGATAAGGCATTAAAGGTTGACCAAACCAAATTCTGCAAGTAATGAGGTTGCATAAAAACTTTTGCCTGAAAAATTTAAGCCACCATCATACGAAGGTTAATAAGAAAAATCCAATCCAATAATTACATATGTCTGAGAAGTGTATTTTAGCTTAGAAAACATGTATGTATTTTAGCCTAGAAGTAAACTCATTATGATGAAAGTAAATGATTTCACATAAAACAATTGTAGCCTCTAACAGTTCAGCGCGCACAAAAAATTATCATGATTCCTACCTCTGCGCCAATATGGAATTTTATAAACTGGACAAATGGAACCCGATTTCATCAACTCAGGGTGCAAGTGCTGTAAAAAATAAGCAAGCACTGGCAATATGATCAAGCACATTCCAAGTATTAATACATCCAAATAAAACCTAACATTCATATGTGAATAACACTGAAGGTAGAGATTACTTGCAGAAGAGATGATTGCAATTGAGTGAATCCGCAGAACTCAGTAGACTCAAACTGCAAAATAGATGGGAAAAAATCAAACCCATTAGCAGAGTGAAGAGAAATTTTAAATCTTTAAACGAATTCTAGACAAAATCATGTAAGGGTCTGTTTTGGCTACTGAGAAACTTAGTATACATTTGAATATTATTACATTTTAATGCAAAAATTTAGCTTTATTCAGATGGGAGAGATCAAAGGTTGCATCATTCAGCTTCACACATGCCCACAACACAATTTCAAAAACTCTTCTCATCTCAAAGTCACATTCTTTATCGAACTCCCACTCCGGAATCAAAGAACTGCACCAAATCTCTCTCTCTCTCTCTCTCTCTGTCTTTGCAAGCGACATGGCTGTCATCCAATACGTTTCCGCCATGTTTGAGGTTTAACCCTAAACCCTAAATATCGAAAACTAAGTAAATCTATATCAAGCCTTCGCAAATTAAGGTGATTTAGTGAAAGGATCATAACAAATTAAATAATGCAGACACAAAAACACAGTTAGTTAAAAGTTGAATTTTAGGATCATTATACAGTTAAATAATTTAGAGACAAAATGCAGAGCTTGTAAGAATAGCAAGCTTACTGCACAAAGTTTGTTGGTACTCTTCATTGCAACCTTCAGGTTTCCCAATGTCTCTTGGTGAAACTGGGCATCACCCCATGAAAAATCAGACCGTGCCACTATATATACATGGAGGGTGTGAAGGGAATTATATACTTCAATTAGTAAAATCAACGGCATATAAAATCCAAAAAAGGGAATTCAAATTGGAACAGACGGAATATAGATAAAAGATTTACCAGAAGCAAAACAATCACACAGTATTATCTTTGCGATGAAGAAATTGTACCGCCAAAACGGAGATACATAAGCCTCAGACGGTGTTTATTATCCTTTTACTAAGGTATTATAGATGAAGGGAGATAGCAAAAATAAAAAGCATAATCAGACAGATGAACAATGAAAATTAAACATAGCAGGTGAGCAATACCAGACATTCCTGCCTTCAAGCAGCCGGAGATTGTCTCAACCGATCGTTATTTTGGACCAAGCGTTCCCACGATCCTTGTCATTGTCGGAAAGAATGTCTGCAAGTTTAGAATTCATCAAAGTTAGTCACGCATTCATGTTCTTTCAAATCACTACGGCCACATATTCACCTAATAACCCACGGAAATTCAGAGAATATTTCGGAAACAATAATATCCTGTTTGATTGCTAAGTAAAGATTTCTATAATAAGAAATATCACACCCTCCTGATTATCACGTTTTCTCAGAAACCAAACACATGATAAGAATTAAGATGCAAGAAGGAAATACAGATTCCATCCAATCCCACAAACACAGAGAGTTTATTTATACTTGCTACAATTTAATTTTAAGAAATAGCCAAACAGGTAGTACAAAGAGGAAATTCAGGCATTGTTTGTTTTCCATCCAATCCCTCACTTTACCCTCCTGATTATCACATTTTCTCAGAAACCAAACACATGATAAGAATTAAGATGCAAGAAGGAAATACAGATTCCATCCAAACCCACACACACACAGAGTTGATTTATACTTGCTACAATTTAATTTTAAGAAACAGCCAAACAGGTAGTACAAAGAGGAAATCCAGGCATTGTTTGTTTTCCATCCAATCTCTCACTTTCTCGGGAAATCCAGGCTTAATCACAAACAGAAAACTCGTCAACAACCCTAGACTATCCAAATTCGAACATGTAGGACAACACCAATCACAACTACAAATACTAACAAATGTGCAAAAGAATTATAAAAACAGTCATGGACCATATAAGAACAAACCTCACAATTGGTCTTAAGAACTGTTTTTCCAAAGAGTCCCATTACAATGCAATCTGAAAGAAAACAAAACATGAATAATATCAAGGAAACTACATTTTCTCTGCCAAGTAAAATCTACGGCAGGTGATGAACAAAATACAAAGTTCTCAGCTTTAATTGAATTATTATCAAATATTGAAGGAAATTAACAATTACCCAGAAATGTTTGCTCAAAATTAATTGATAATATGAATAATTTAATTACACAACATTTACAAAACCCAAAGTTCTTAAGCTTAATTTGATCGTACCATTTAATTGGAAGAAATAAAAAAAGTACACATATATGTTTGCACACAATTAATTGATGAAACAACCAATTGGGCAATCAAAAATTTCAGATGAGAAATCATACCAATGGGTTTCCATTAATTTCGATATCGAAGTATAACTTTGTGAGTCACTTGCTCCAAATCGTTCTCCTGCCAAAAACGGAAACAAACCCCCAAAATAAGGAGCTCTGTTGGTTCCCAAATATTAACAACCATTTCACTTGTACCTTTCATCAAATAGGTGGTGATCGCTGCTACTAAGCAGGATTGAAGATTGAGTATCTCATTAATATAGGAATCAGAAGTCATCTTCCAGACGAAAGAAAAAGTATAAAACACGACTCAAATACTCAAGGATAGGCAATCAAACTAATGGTGCAGCGAAGACGATAAAACACGACCTACTACTCCCTCCCTCTCTCTCTGTGCAAAGGCGGCATGGCTCTCATTCACCAAACCCTCATCAAATGACAGCCACCTAGACCCATCCCAATCCGTCCCAAACCCATAGGACAAAATTAACCTTCCTAACTTAGCATCCTAACCGCTTCGGATCCAAAAACTTCATCTATACCGTAAACTTGATCAATCAATCAAAGATTTATAAAACTTTCGAATTTTAACCCCAATTACAACATGCAGACCCAAAATTGATCCAAATCAAATTGAAAAATCCTAAAAGAACAAAGGCTAAACTATAGAACTTGGGTATTTCTTAAAACCCCTAACCCATGATATTTTAAATACATCCATAACTGCATCCTATATAAAACGCACTAAAATGTCAGAGATAAAGTTTGGAACTAAGCATTGTATAACATTTACAGATGACAACCAATGTAAATTTGTGAAAAGCGAAACCACCCCATTGTTTTGAATGTTGTTATTTTGGGATACCTTGCAAATCACATTTTTAGGCGAGGGAAAACTACCAGAAACGAAAAGGATTTATACCTTTTATCAAAGATCTACAGCCTTGGTTCCGCCGCCATTGCTTGTCTTCTCCGGTCTGGGTTTTACTTTCCTGGCAGTCTCTTCCTTCCCCGGTAGTTTTTTGTCCAGCAGAGAGAAAAAAAAATTACTTTCCTGGCAGTCTCTTCCTTTCAAAGATCTAAAAGCAAGGTTCCTTGATTCTTCCGCTTCAGAAATTTGTTGTCGCATAGCCAAAAAATAAAGAAAATAAGCTTTGGTTCAGAACTTACTCTCTGCAGACACGGGTTCCTCCTCAATTTTCGGCATCCTCCTCTTTCTGCGATCTCTCTCTCGTCTCTCTCATTGTCTCTGTGCAATCGTTCTCTCCCTTTCTCTCCCTCTCTCTCTCTCTGCGTTCTTCCCTCTGTGCAAGCCCATACTCACCAACTCCCTCAATCAACTCTCTGTCTCTCCCTTCTCTGTCCGTGAATCCCTGTGCATCGATAATCTGAAAACCCAGTTCGATTTTTCATTGCTCGGATGGAGAAAATTGAGGAATGAAAGCATACCCAAACCAAAAGGTCAGACCTCCATACTTTTCTCATCATCAATAATCTCTCACTCACCCAAAAGGTCAGAGATTTCCAAAACCAAAAGGAAATTAAGAGAGAGAAACGGAGGAGAGAGAGAGAGAGAGATCGGAGTACCCCCATACTTTTCTCTGACTGTCCCCCCTCTCCCACTCATGAAATTGAGGATCTGCAACAATGGCACTGAGATCCCCACTCTTCCCTCTCCCTCTCTCTCGCTCTGTCTCTCTCTCTCTATCGGAGGCATGGCCTCCCATCCCCGAAACCCTCACTGAATGACAGCATACCCAAACCCACCCCAATCCGTCTCAAGCGTACAGGACAAAATTACCCTCCTAACTTTTAATAACTACGTTCCAACCCAGCCCCATATCCCACGGTTTTGTTGTAAATAAAGCAAAATCGAGGGGGGAGGAATTGACCTCAAAAGACAAAATCACCCTCTAAATTTTTGAGAATTACCCCCCAACCCAGCCACATTCGGCTGGCATTGTTGTAAATAAAGAAAAATCAAAACAAAGGTGAATAGCGTCTGCCCTCCCCCCTACTTTAGTATAGATAATTTTAGTTTTCACCTTACTTGAAAATATTTTGGTCTGTACTATTTGTTCATTAGTAAGACTCGAAACCGAAAGATACAAGTTTTCTAAGAGGTGAGCTTCTGATAATTCTCTGTTTGTGCTAAAATTAAAGGTTGTGGATCTCTATGGTTGAGTTTCTGACTGGAGGAATCATTCCCAGATCGCGAGCTTGCATCTACACAGAAGTCCATCTGCCGCACAGTTGGTAGTGGGAAATGAAAATTGTACTGTTATTTTATTGCAGCTATGGCCTCCGAAAGACAACATTCATGTATGAGCAAGAGGGGGGTTACTGACGAATTATAGTCATAATCTAGTTGAATTTGTAAGAGTTGTGATTTAAATTCCAATGCTTTCGAATCGTTATAGTGTTAAGTCATTTCCTCAATTTCAAATCTAGCTGAATTTGTAAGAGTTGTGATTTAAATTCCAATAATTTTGTGATTTTCGCAGCGAAACCATTTAGCTGAAAGGGTATTCGAAGATGGGTTTTTCTCCGTCTTCCTCTTGGGTCATGTCATCAAAGGACATTTTTTTTTTGCAGACCCACTTCAAATCGAATAGATGGAAACTACCGACTCATCTCTTGGAAGGTAACTTCTGGAGTTGTTAATTTTTATGAAATATTTGACCTGGTTTTTTTTTTTTGGGGGTGAAATTAGATACTTAGTTTTTGAAATAATGCAATACAATATGATTAAAGAAAGAAGATTCTTATATGATCCACGTTTGTTCCTTATTTTTTTCTTAATATTTTGTTGTTTTCTAATTTCTCTTTGCATCCTTTTTATGTCCATCAGTTGGCACTCCATGGTATAAATTAACTCTAAATCTTTGTTGCCAACTGTTTTCTGTGTTTTTTGAATTACAGAAAATTTGCTTGGTTTAATTGTTTTTAATTTACGGTTTAATTGTTTTCCCCTATTATGATCGAGTGGTAAATTAGTTGAATTCCATAGAGAACGAATAGCTAAATGCATTTTCTTAAATATCTTGCAATGACACACTCTGGGGATTTGTTGTTTTCATGCTGTTTAATGTGAAACGTATGCATAGAACTCGAGAGGATTTATCTGTAGTCACCTTCAGTAATATTAGTAGCTTGCGTATTTCATTACTTTGATACTCTTCTAGCTGCTAGTTGGAAGATCATAAATTCAAAATACTATTATCGGTTTTGAAAACTCTAAAATGTGACTGTTTTCTGTGAACTATGATAGGATCTAATCTTTATTTCTGGATTGCAATCATTCCAATTGTGGTTAGTACATATAATACTCATCTCTTTTTCAGTTTCAGTTGTCACATGTTCATAAAAACTAACTAAACTAATTGCAGCTGCAACAGAATTATGCTTAACGAATCCACCATAATTAAAAATCTAAGCAAAGGATTATTCAACTATTTTGCTTAAGAATTTTCGGTTCACTGTCCCAATAAATGAATATTAAATTGGCTTTAATTTGAAAAAAAAAAAAATCCATTGCAAGAGTAGAGCAAAACCACAATCTTTTTACTTACTTTTTTTGCTTTGAGTCCCTTTCCTTCTCTAAATCCCAATTTTTAACTTCATTTCAAAGGCCATTACATTGCAAATGCCTCTTATTTTTTCATTGAAGTATACATCTTAAGTTGGAACAGGGGAAATCCATTCTGGTCAATCATCCAGCCAACAAAGATTTACTCCAACTCCTTTCAAAGTCTTAATCACATTTCGCAAAAGTTCATTACTTTCTTCTTGAACGATTGGATTGCCGATCACTAAATCTTATCTCATTTTCGAGAATGTACCTTTTTCTAGAAAGCACTTGATTTCAATTCTTCTTGACAAAAATTAATTGTTTCGATTAACACTGTCTAATTGGATTAGTATTGTTCCAACATTAGATTTCAAAAATTTCTGTGGAAAAGAAACTTATCTTCTGGGGATATTCTTGGGTATGCAAGGTTTGAAATAATTTGGGTTTTATTTGTTGGAAGGTGAATAAGGCTGAAGCTAATTTGATTAGAAAAAATTGAGAATTAAGAAAGTTTTGAAAGAACAAGAAGAAGAAGACTGACACGTGATAGAATTTGAATCAAGAGGAGGAAGAAAGTCGGTAGCTCAATGTAAAAACTAAAATCAATCCCTCTTCAACAATGGCAGCGGAGACAACGACGACCACCAGGTTCACTTTTTTAATTTAATTTTAATTTTTGCTTCTTTGGATTTAAGAAAATGAAACAAATTCTCATTTTAAAGGTGAACATTTGTTGATTGGATTCTGTAAAAGGGTTTTACTTTGATTTTTTTTTTTTTTTTGTAGCGTAAGCCTTTAAACTTTAGAGCAAACACTTCAATTCGAAACCTTTTAGATAAAACCCAATTTAATTGGAAATGGGAGAGTATGAATTAATTAGACAAGTAGATAGATGTGGGCTTTTTTTCATTTTTTTTTTCAATTGAACTCTTGAAGAGTTTTTGTAAAGAACTTTAGTTGTCAAGATGTGTGGAGGATATATTGCAATGCAAGGCATGTGTTAATCGTGCCGCACCACCAGTAGGTAAGCAATTTATCTTACTCTAGATTAAAAAAAAAAAAAAAAAAAAAAAGGGTGTGTATTACGGGCTTTTTTGGGGCCGTCTTTTTTGATTTAGGGTTTTAAATTTGGTATTATGGGTTCTGTTTGGATGCTCATAAAGTATGAGAGCAGCAAGTATACTGAATTTAGTGTTCTGGGTTTGTTGTGTTTGTTAGTGAAATCAGAGTTTCCATAACTTTTGAGGTGTTTAAAGCTTTTGGTTGCGGAACGTTTAATATTTGAACTATGAGTAATTATTCTTAGGACATAAATTGAATAATGAAAACAAGTGAATTGAAGTGTTTCTAATTTGCATTAGTTGAAGCTTTGAAAATTAGTGTTTGTATTCCACCATTTCACTTAGAAATCCGCCCTTTTAGGTCGTAGAAGTCTCTCATTTTTTGTTTGGTGGAGTATTTTCTTTTCTTTTCTTTTCTATTTTTGTTGTTGTTGATTTTATTATAAATATAGTGAAAATATGTGGAATGAGATCTTCCAAGTAATGAATCATCAATGTCATCTAGACTCTGGAGGTTGGATAAAGCAAAATCAATAACCCAAAGTATAATCAGACAAAGAAACGCAATACAAAACCCAAATAGAAAAAACCCATTTGAAATTCAAGTGTCCACTGTCCAAACTTCAAAGAGAAAAAAGCTAATAAACAATAGTATCATCTTTAACGGTTTCAAGACCCATGGCAAAGTGCAGACATTTTTGCTAGATATTACTTTAGTCCAAAGAAAGCATAGCATTGCAATTGGCACTGTTCCAATGAACAGTGTTTTGATTGAATTTCACTTTATTTACAGATCTGTCATTGGGTTATTTACGGGCTTGCCATTCTTAAGTAAGCACACACGTCTCTATCGTCCGATATCGGGTCTTTTAAGCTCTCACAATTCACACCCAATTCACTTCGTCTTCTTCCCCAAATCAAAACCCTAAATTGATTGTGCGATTTAATTGTGCAGATCGGAGTACTATACGCTCGGTACTTCCGTCAAGGCAGCTCTGGTTTATCTCGGAACAGCGTTGGTGAAGGTTCGTTATTATTAATTCGTAGTTAAATCCACTGACAGGATTAGAAAAATCGCATTTTTATGTTAATCATATTAATTTGATGTAATTTCAACAGAAATGGCGCTGATGGGTTTTGTTTATTAAATCTGTGTTCTGCAGCTGGTTTGTTTGGAAAATATTCTGAAGGTATCTGACAATGAGAGCTTCGATCCGTATAAGGTATTTTCTATATTTGTTTCAGTTGAAATGTATCATTGTTTGGATTAAAACTTGATTTTTGGCCCAAGGATGGAGTCGGCCCAAAAGGAGGCCTGGAGGAATAGAAGATCAAGGCCCGGCCGAAACTGAGGAAAGCAGGAAAGGGCCTTTTTCTGACTTGATACAATTCATAAGGGCCACTTGCCCACCTACCCAAGGATCAAGTGGTGTAGACTGGTCAGACTGCACAGCCCATAAAGTACTTTATGGTGGCATTACATGTAATAAAGCTGATAAGTCATCACCTTCAGACCGCATTCGGGCAAAGCTGTCGCTACAGGAGCCAAACCGAGTCGTCTATAAAAGGAGGAAGAGAAGACAGGAATAAACACACTCAAACAAACAAACAAAAGTACAAACTCTGCTAAAAAAGCCAGATTTGCCTTTCAAAACGAAGCTGTAGTCAGCCCAAGCCTTCATCCTCCACGGGATAATTTTCTCTCCCAACCTCTGTAATAGCTCTGCTACCTTGTTCGAACTTGTTGTAGTATCGATTCACCTTTTGTATTCTCTTTTCCCCTCTCCCCCTCTAAACTTTCAGACCTTTGATAGAACTACAAAGATAGGGACCTGCAAGACGATCAGCCTTACTTGATAAGGTTTAATCTTGCCCGACCTGCTTTGCTCTGTCTTTGTCTTCTCTTTCTTTAAAGTCTAGCAGTATGTTGTATATTTCCAGTTATATGCAAGTTGTTTCTAGCAAAATTACAATGACAAAGCTCTCTCAGTACTTGGATCCGATTTGAATATATCTTCAATGTTTAAATCAGATCCAAGTTCTAAGTCCACGGGCATGTAAATTTGATTAGTTTAAAAGTCCTTGGCCTCAAGTTATAAAAAAGAACTTTATGTGGACTTAACCCATCTACGACAATCCTTGATAAACGAGAAGTCCGAAGTTACTTGGGGCGCAAGTAATCGACCTACCTTCTAGTTTTCTTTCTATTATATCATGATTATCATAGAACGCTTAAGTATGGAATGGATTCTGATAGGAAGCCTCAAGGCCTACACCTAAGGCCCCACAAAGGCACTTATTTGAATTCATTCTATTTTGCGATCTAGATGGTTTGAGTATAAGAACGGACTCTAATGGGAAACCTCAAGGCCTACACCTAAGGCCCCACAAAGGCACCTATTTGGGTTCGCTCTACCTCTCAGATTCAGGTAATCAGAAGTATAATAGTTATAAGACTCCAACAACCATAAAGACCAAATATGATATGTTCAAGTACTGGTTTAGTTTGACAGAAAGCCTCAAGGCCTACACCTAAGGCCCCACAAAGGCACTTGTTATATCTAACACGGTTTCTCGGGCATATGCATATTCATAACTAAAACTTGATATCAATTCGACATCTACCATGCTAAGATGGCAGTGGCACGCCTGAGCACCTAAATGTTAACCTTGATTGTGAGCCTCAAGGCCTACACCTAAGGCCTCACAAAGGCACCTTTCAAAGTTAACGATGTCCTTCTCTTTCATCCTTGCTCGCAGAGTCTTGCCCGAAGAGTCTTGCCCGAAGAGTCTTGCCCGACGAGACTTGCCCGACAAAGCCCGACAACAAAGCAGAAGCCCGACAGCAGCCCTCAACCGGCGCCAACCTCCAGGGGAGCTGTGTGCTCGTCGGCCAGGAAGTCATCCCCGACGGAAATTCCTGCCACGAACATAGTTTTGGCACGCCCGGTGGGATCTCTAATCAGAAGATAGAGAAACAGATATGCCAGAAGACTTACAGACCACGTTGTTTCAAATGCTGCAAAGATTGAAGAAAGCCTCCACAGGCTCTAGAAGTGATATAGATGTGGTTCCTCCCAAAGGAAAAAGACGTAGAAACAGCCAGCCATATAAGATGGACGTAATCAACCCTGCATTTCCCTTCTCAGGGGCCCATATAAATATGCTTAATATGACATGGGCGGAGAAAGGAAAAGGGAAGATTACGAGGGAAGAAGAAGAAAGATTGGCCGAAAAACCTGCAGAGAGAATAACCAAACGACCCGAGTATCCAAAGGCTGCCATAATCAAGGGGATGGTTATGTGTAGTAGATGCCAGTGTGAATGTGAGCTCGAGATTCCCTCGGCTGGAGTCCTCATTGATCACGAGTTAATCAGGAGGAAGGAAGAAGATATAAGAAGAGAAGCCTGCGAAAAGATTAAGCAGGCAACAAAGAAGGATACCTCTCAAAGTGTTTTTCAACGCTTAGGAGGTGATTCCCAGCCCAAGGCTTTATCAGAAGTGTTTCGAAACCATGAAGCTTCTGACGAGGCAGAAATGGAGGCCAAAATCCAGAGAGGTGCAGATCATCTTCAGAATGGCCAGATAATGGGGGAAGTCAAGAGAACTGATGGGATAACTAATCCCGGCAGAAAAGGGAATCCTGCCCACCTCGGGCGAAAATGGTATGTGGTCGGGAAGAACGGACAGCCTATCAAAGGCAGCACAAGGCCTACATGAATTCCTTGAAGACCCCCACTACCTCTGAAGCCTCAAAAAATCAAAAGTTGGAAAGAGCAACATCTGGAGGTAGTAGCCAGCTCCGGTGGCGAAATAAGAAGGAGGTAGAGACAGCCAATAGAAAAGCAGAGGGGGTGGGGGATCATGTGCCGCAGAGCCAACATCCTGGGAAGTATAGGATCTTAAGAAGGGCTCAAGAAGATCTGATCATGGTACCAACTCCTGGGTGGAAGCCGGAGCCTATTCGCATGGGAACTGTTGCATCTGAAAGAAGACCACTTTCTCTACCATTAGTGGATCCCTTTGGTGAAGTTCCAAAACAAACGTTGTACGAGGGCATGGATCAACCACAACGAGAAGGGATACCAGAACCACTGCTTCCAGCCGACGCGATGGCCTAGTTAGATGAATTCATAGAACCAAATCGGGAGCAAGAAGGAGGATGTACTCGAGCCCAGTAATTTCCACATCAACATGGCGTATATATTATCCGCCACGTTTGGTGCCAGACCTGATCAGCCTGCTACTATGGAGGGTGATTACTTAACAACGGAGCCAATGATGGCACAAGTTAATGTGGAGATAGCGGAAGAAGAAGACTCGGGCAAGGCTGAGCCCTCAGAAGCATCCAAAGGTGGTCCTCTAAGGATTTACACAGACGAGATGGTGTTCAGCCGCCCGAGTATTTCGTTGGCCAACCATCTGAAGCCTATATATGTTTCAGCTCACTTAGAAGGTGTGCCCTTCAAAAGAATTTTAATTGATGGAGGAGCAGCTGTTAACGTGTTACCGGCCAAGCAGATGAGGAAGATGGGGAGAGGTACGGAAGATCTTATTCCCACGGACCTTACGGTCTCTAGCTTCTCAGGTGCTATCACTAAAACTCATGGGATATTACCTTTGGAGGTGGACTTAGGATCCAAAAAGATAATGCTGGCATTCTTTGTGGTGGACTGCACCTCCACCTACGGAGCCTTACTCGGAAGAGATTGGATCCACCAAAGTTTAGCTATACCTTCCACTCTTCATCAATAAGTGGCTGTATATCATGAGGCAGGTACTGAAGGACCAGGTTTTTGGGAGATAGTAGAGGCCGAAACACGGCCATTCCTCCCCTCAACCAATGTGGCAGAAGCAAGTTTCTATCAAGGTGACGGCCCAAAAGCTTGAAGTGTTCAGGAGCTGACGAGAACGGCCGCCCTACCAAGGTGACGGCCCAAAATCTTCTGGAACAAGGAATGCTCCTTACTAAGGAGGAGTGGGATAGACCCTGTCTCATACCAAATTCCCTACACCATCAATGACTGAACAAAAGAAGAAAGATCAGGTCATGGCAGTCAGATCCCTGATTAAAAGACTGTTGGTATATGGGAAGGGAAGAAGACAAGAAAGGGAGCGGGAAGAGCAAGAATGGCAGGAAGAAGCTTCAACCAGCCAGCATGGAAATGGGGAGGAATCTTGCAGTGAAGAACTGGATAGGGCCATTCAAATGGCCAAGTGCATATATGATCTAGATGGGCCAGACGACTTGCCCGAGAGCCCAGAGTTGGTCGAATTTTTATGCGCAGAACCTGATAAGCCATCACCCGAAGTTCAGGATCCTTTGGAAGTTATTGATCTAGGCACGGAGGAGGATCCAAGACCAATACAGATCAGTGGTTTGTTAGGGGTTGATGATCGGGCAAAATTTATTTGTCTTTTGCAAGAATTCAATGACTGTTTTGCTTGGCATTATACCGAGATGCCAGGGTTAGATCTAACCTTGGTGGAACATAGAATGCCCATCAAGGAAGGATATAAACCGGTCAAGCAAGCACCACGGAGGATGTCAAAGGAGATAGAAGAAAAGGTCAAAGAAGAGATTGAGAAGCTAGTGAAAGCTGGCTTTATCAGACCAGCCAAATATGTGGAGTGGTTGGCCAACATCGTACCTGTTTTAAAAGCTGTAACAAAAGCAGTACGATGTTGTGTCGATTACAGAAATATTAATGGTGCTACACCAAAGGATGAGTACCCCATGCCCACGGCTGATTTATCCATAGATGCAGTAGCAAAGCATAAAGTTTTATCTTTTATGGATGGAAATGCCGAATATAATCAGATAAAGATGGCTCCAGATGATATTCATAAAACAGCTTTTAGGTGTCCTGGTCATGTGGGGGCATATGAGTATCTGGTCATGCCATTCGGGCTTAAGAATGCTGACGCAACATATCAAAAGGCAATGAATGCCATTTTTCATGATCTAATTGGCCAGAACATGGAGGTATATATCGACGACATCGTGGTGAAATCTAAAACAAAAGAGCACCATCTAGTAGATCTCAGGCAAGCGTTGATAAGGATGCGGATCCACAAATTGAAGATGAATCCAAAGAAGTGTGCATTTGGAGTAAAAGCGGGCAACTTCTTGGGATTCTTGGTGCATCAGAGAGGTGTGGAAGTGGACAAAAACAAGTCTCGGGCAATATTGGAGTCACCTCCACCCACCAACAAAGTGCAGCTTCAAAGGCTACCAGGCAAGATCAACTTCTTGAGGAGATTCATTGCCAATTTAGCGGGCAAAATCCAGCCGCTAACTCCTCTATTAAGATTGAAAGATAAAGAGAATTTCGAGTGGGGGCCGACCCACCAGCATGCATTTAACAGCATCAAGGCCTACCTAACTTCTCCACCAGTGCTGGTACCACCTCAAAGGGGAAAGCCCTTGAAGCTGTATATTTCTTCTTCGGAAAAATCAATTGGGAGTTTGCTAGCCCAAAATAATGAAGGTGGAAAGGAGCAGGCCGTATACTACCTCAGCAGAATTTTGATCGAGGTAGAAACAAGATATTCTCCGGTGGAGAGATTGTGTTTGGCTCTATATTTTACTGCCAGCAAGCTAAGGCATTATATGTTACCTTGTCACGTGCACATCATTGCCAAAACAGATGTGATAAAGTACATGTTGTCAAAACCTATGCTAGCAGGAAGGATTGGGAAGTGGATTCTAGCACTATCCGAATTCAGCTTTCAATATGTACCCCAAAGGGCAGTCAAAGGCCAGGCAATTGCTGACTTCTTGACCGAGCATCAAGAACCTCAAAGTGAGGTAATCAATATCCCAAGAAGTTTGGAGGTTACTAGCGTTTGGATCCCACCAAGAAGTGATGTTTCGGGCACAGAAGATTGGATCCAGCAAGAGATAAGAAGAGTAACGGGCATCTGGATTACTCC